TTTGCGGCTGCTGGCAAGGGCTCTGTGGGCAGAGCCTGCGATGAGCTCTCTGTCCCCCCCAGTGGACCTCTGCAGGCTTTTCTCTTGATGCTGGAGCCAGCTCTGAGAGGATGCTGGAAGCTGTACCTGCTGCTCCTCTTCCTGGCAGGGGCTGCTTTGGCTGAAGGCGAGATAGAAGGAATTTTGCTCTTTTATGCAAAAACAAATGCATCCACTAACTTGGGGCAAGAGTGGGAATTTCCTTTACAGAAAAAGAATGTGAAAGAAAGCCCTGGATGGATGGGTGGAAATGGTATCCTAGCAGCAAGCCTTCTGAATATGACTTATATAATGTAGTTGCAATGAAATGGGGGGGTTCTTAATTAGCTGGCCCCAATGGCAAGGACATCAACAAGGAAGCAGATGTCTCTGATACCCTGAGTGCCTTGATAGTTGGTGACATTTCTTTCCTTTTATCTGTAATAGCATAGTTGATACACCTTCAGGAATTTGAGTTAGTTTTCTAATGGCTTTTTAGTATTTATTCTTATTGTTTTTAAATTATGTGTCTATGTTTTTGGGGGTCATGTGCAGTGCTGGAGGATTCTGGAAGAGGACACCAGATCACCAGGAGTGGTATTACAGGCTGATGAACCACCAGAAACGGGTGCTGGAAATCAGACTCAGGTCTTCCGCAAGCGCAGTATGCAGAGGCACCGATAGTGATTCATGGGACCAGGCTCAAATATAGGTTAAATACAATTTATTTCGGGAAGAAGTCACTTACACAAGAAGCAGATGGCCGCTGCAGGGTCCCGCTCTAAGGATCTGCACAGGCTGCTCCCTGTGACCCGACCAGAAGCCAGAGAAAGCCACCTGCCTGGATCCCAGACTCACTCTCTTGTCAGTCACCACTTGTGACCACGCCCAAATGGGCGGGGTAGATAGCTCACTGCAATTCCCCTTTCAGTCTAAAGAAAAAGATGTAGGCTTGATGGAAAACTATGTACACGGAAAGCAAATATCGAGTGTGCTCCAGGAGAAGGAAAAGTGAGAACAAACACACTTAGGACCTATCGCCAGCTAAGCAACTAGAGCAAAAGGCGGGAACGACAACCGCGTGTACTCTTAACTGCCGCGCCACCTCTCTAACCCCTCTTATCTAGTTGTAACAATCTTAATTTGTTTGCTAGTGGTTTTTATTTTCCACGAGTAAAGGGGTTATCTGGACAGGTCTTGTCCTGAACCGTACTTTTATTGCCCTCTTTATACCCAAGGCTAATGAAATGTCTCCTGATTCAACACGAAGAATTCTCAAAAGCTGGGTAACTCGTATGTCCTGACTCAGGAGTCTGATCATCTCATGTGATCACCTGGGTGAAGGACGTTTTGAACCTAAGTTCATATCAGTGGTTTACTTCCTTGGTCCGAGAAGGGGTTAAATTCCAGGCTTTTCCTATGTGTTGCCATTTTGTATGCAGAGAACAACCCAGTGTCTTGTTTTCCTGTAATAGACGAGAATACGATGTGCTAGCTAGACCCCAAATGACGTGTGTACAGAAATAACAAAAGCCACGGCCGTCACGATGACATGCATTTCCTATAGGCGGGAGTATTGCAGGGGCCGGAGAGATGGCTCACTGGTTAGGAGTGCGTCTTGCTGGTGCAGAGGTCCCACGTCTGGCTTCCAGCACTAGCGCTGGATAAAACATGACTGCCTATAATTCCAATTCTGGGTGGATCTGATACTCCTGTCCTCAATGGATACCTGTACTCGTCACCACACAGAGACAACAGATTCACATAATTAACACACACACACACACACACACACACACGCATACACACACATGTATGTATATATCTGTATATATACTATAGGTATATTTGAAGACAACCTCACAATGGTGTTCTGTTTTCCCCATTTCCCAGAAGAAGGAGTGGGAACTCAAGGAGGCAGAAACCGGTACAGACAGCCAACATTTACTCGGGGCCCATCATCTGGAGAACTTTCCTCGGTGGGTGCAGTTAATCCCCGGGGACCCTAGGAGGCGCTGTCTCATCTTACAGACAAGACAACTGACCCAGGGTTAGGCAGCTTATCCACAAACGGAGAGGGCAACTTGCTTCAAGTCCAGCTGGTGGCGAACGCACTGGGGAGGCCGAACCCCTATCCCAGGCTGCGTAGTTTTAAGATTCCACGCCGTTTTCAGCGCACCAGGTGTCCCTGGAACCTTGCGCTGGAGTCTCGCCAATGTCCCAGCTGCCCTCATAACCCGTCTCTCTTCTCTACTCCAACTGGGTCGTCTGTGTCCGAACAAATTCCATGCAAGGCTTTCTGGAAAAGCTCAAGGCTCTTCCCCAGCACGGCCCAGAGCTCACAGCCAAGGCTGAGAACACTAACCCCCAAACTTGTCCCCTGCCTGCTTGTTCCTAATCTCAGCTGCACATGCTCCACAGGGGGAAACTGCTTTCTCAGAGGATTTACAGGCCCGACAGCATGGCCAGGGTAAATCTTTATTGCCCTAGTGCCTTGGGAAAGACATTATCTTTCGGAGTGGGTAGCGATAAGCTTTGACATCAGCGCGGTCTACCCTAGTGTTAAAGTACGGTCACGGGGTCTGTTTTATTCTGTTTAGTCACACTTGCAGATATCGTTAAAGAGACACTTCCAAGCAAAGGTCGTTTTTTGTTGCTGTTGCTCTTCGTTTCTGAGACAGTGTTTCACATAGCTCAGGCTGGCCTTGAACTCGGTACTGAGGATGCAACTGAGGATGGTCTTCTTCTCTTCCTACCTCCTGTCTAGTGCTGGGATTTTAGATGTACACCTTCAGGCCCAGTTAGCACAGGTTATTTTAAAAACTCAAGACAAAATTATATGATGTACCTGTAATCATTTTTTAATGTTGCACTAAAAACAAAACAAAACAAAACAAAGCTCCTTGAGTCTTAAATGGTAACTAGTGAGTATTAAATACTCTATCAAATGACAATTTAAAAGAACCTTTAGTCTCACTGGTTATAGACTTAATTATTTGAAGGTGCTTGATAGGAAACAAAAGTTTTGTTACTTTATGTTTTCAAGTAACACTAAGCAGACACACCTGCTAAGGTCAGACATGTGGTCGTATGTGTCCTACAACATACGTGATTCTAAGTATGTCAAAATACAAATTTTGTTGAATGGCTCGGTTTTCATGCATTTAACATTGATTGAAAAGTATTTATTTTTATAGTAGTTTAATTTTGTACACTTGTGTGTAGGTATGCACTCACAAGTGTGGGAGTCTGCAGAGGTTGTTGGTTTCCCTAGGAGCTGGACTTACAACATGGGTGCTGGGTGCTGGATTTGAGTCTTCTGGTAGAGCAGTGCTTGTTCTTAACCTTGGACCCATCTCTCAAGCCCCAGCATGTACTAATTGCTGACAAAATATTGGTGTCATGGTTTAAGGAATAGGAAAGCTTAAATGATTTTTATCATATAGCTTTGCATAAGACCATTTTCATACAAGTTTATACGACCCACATTATCCCCCACCCAAACCTCACCACCCTCTCATCTCTTATTCCCTCCTTAGCCCCTTCATTACCAAGACAATTCTATTTCGACATTCATAAAATCTATATGCATGTGACTTGTAGAGTCCAGGAGCAACAGAGCAAAGAGAGAAAGAGAGCATGTGACATTTGTCTTTCTGAGACCGCTTAGCTCACTTAATATGAGCCGATTTTCCTGTTAATGGCGCAACTACACCCATTTTCATAACTGAACACAATCCTTTGTGTGTGCAAGGAATGGAAATCTTTGGCCAGAGTGTTCAGAACTGCTTCTGTTTTACTCACCGCCAACTATGTAGTTCTCAGGAGCTCCGTTACTCTCAGATGCCTTCAATGAGACCTGCTTTCCTACATTGCAGTGTTGACTTGAGAATAAAATAAGATGATATGGATAGAGACTGAAGAGAAATAGTAGTTAGACATTCTCTACAGTTTAAACTGTGGAAATGTATTTTTTTACCTAAATATACCCATTCTCATAACTTACATCACATTTATAGTTATCATTTAATATTACATATATTTGCTTATGTTGTATGGACGGGGTGGTGGTGTATGTGCTACAACACGTGTGTGGTGGACAGAGGTAAGTCTGCAGTAGCTAGTTCTCTCCTGCTACTGTGTGAGCTCCAGGGGTCTTAGGCTTTGGTGGCAAGCTCCTTTGCTCACTGAACCCATCTCCCTGACTCAGGTGGCCTCGTATAGGATGTATTTGTTCTTGCTAGAAGATGAACAAGTCACCTTGTCATGAAAATGTAAGGTGTGACTCTGAGGTCTGAGAAGGCTTCTTTATCTATTGCTTTTCTGGTCCTGTGATAAAATACCATGACCAAAAGCAACTTAAAGAAGATATTAATGGGCTGGAGAGATGGCTCAGCCATTAAAGGCTAGGCTCACAACCAAAAATATAAGAAGATATTATTTTGGCTTAAAGCTCCAGAGGGCTAGTTAACAAAGTACTTCAGTCATATTTATGAATAAGAAAGGGAGAGAATCTAAGGTGATTTTAGGATTGGGGAAAGTAGCTCTGAGGGAAAACTTGAGCTGACCACACCCAGAGTTCTGGGCTTCATCTCCATCATTGCAAATAATACTAACAGTTATTATGCTCTAGACACCATTTTAGCAAAAATTAACTAACATGTAATTTTGTAAAACAGATTGAAAAAAATCCCCTTACTATTTCATAGTTTAAAAGCCATCCCTGTTCATCTTAAATCCCTAAGCAACATGGAAAGCTCAACTCTAGGCACAGAGGCCGGGTGCAGTGACTGCGTGCTCAATGGAGATTGCATGGCTTGTACCTCACCTCGGAACAGTTGCTTGCAGTCGGGCTTCTTTGTCTGGGAACTCAGTGATCAAAGAGAGCAAGTGGCAGGTTTTTGGCTAAGAGAAACAATTCTCTACTTTCTTCTCATAAAACTTTAAGTATCTTATGAAAGTTTTAACTGTGGTTGACACAGGGCAATATTGAATTCAAATGTCCAGATTTGGACACGTGGAAAAAGACATCATTGTACTAGAGCTGGGAAAAGAAGCAGAGAAATTCTGAAGTGAGAAGTGAAAATACTGAAGGTGAGTTATGAAGGTGTGTGTGTGTGTGTGTGTGTGTGTGTGTGTGTGTGTGTAGCAAATACATGGATGTTGTGAATCTGCTCTAACCTAGTGGAAGAATTGTTCATATTAGAATTTTAGTTTCCTTTTTAAATTTTATGTATGTGAGTGTTTTGTCTGTATGCAAAAATGTTCTTGGTCTCCCTAAATAAGCAGGGTTTTGCTGTATGCAAGTGTTAAATGATAGTGGCAAGTAGGTAAGTAGAAATGTACATGAAAAGGAATTGGATCCCACGATCACTCTCTAATGTGCTCATAGTCTGTGCTTTCCAATGTCATCTCTTGTGGAGGAGACAAGAGCATAGGAAAGAAAGAGAGAAAGAAAGGAAGGAAGAAAGAAAGGAAGAGAAAGAAAGAAAGAAAGGAAAAATATAAGTCCTATTTTTAGAAACTCTAGACTGAGTCAACTTGTGTTATAACCATATAAGCCTTTGGTTAAATGTGTGAAGCAGTTCTCTTCAGTCTTTCCAGGGCCTTTAACTCTGCCCATAGCCCCCAAATACAGCAAAACAGACACCATCAAAGAACCAGCTTCTGACTGACCTTGCAGACTGCCTTTGATGAGGGGTGCATGCAACTCCCAGAATATACTAGGCAAATATTGGTGTGGGTGCAGAGTGTGGTGACACCTCTGCCGGACACTTAAAAGCAAGGGCTGCCAAATTTACCACTTCTCACTTAAGACTACTGCTTGCTACAGCTTGCTATACCTTTCATTATTCATGTGTGTGTATGTGTGTGTGTGTGTGTGTGAGAGAGAGAGACAGACAGACAGACAGACAGACAGACAGACACAGACACAGACACAGACACAGACACAGACACAGACACAGACACACAGCAAAGCGGGATGTTCCAACTTCCAGAATTTTACCCCACCATTGATGTATTTTAGCAACATCTCTATCTGAGCAGTTTCTTTGCCATCCTGGCTGGCATCTGTTTCACTTCTGGGGTAGCTTCCACCAGAGCCTGCATGTGATCTGATGACCCTAGGTCTGTTGGGATGTTTTTAGTATTAGTGAATGCTCGTTGGGTCACTAAAACAGTTTCTATCTCCTTGCAGATTGTATTTCACCTAGGCTTCACATGGGCTTGCTCATGGCAAATGCTTCTCCCAGAATTTCTTTATTTATTTCAACAATCAGACCTCTAGTAGCCTTCCAGATGCTTCTTTTCATCACAAACAGATTAATCCCTTTTCCCTTTTGAAGAGTTATTAATATTTTTGTATTTCCTTTAACCTTGTGTTACTATTTCTGTTTCAACCAATGGTTTTAATCAATAGCTCAGTATAAAATATATGGCCGAGTAAACACATGGATAAGATCTACCCAGTCATATATTTATTGGCTTGGATCACAGACAACGGCATCTCCTGATCATATCAAGTCCAACTCCCTCCTTCCACTCCTCCATCCCTCCCAATACATGCCCCTCCTATCTTCACATCCTTTTCTTACCCCCTGTCACACAATGAGTCCAGTCAGTGCTACCAGCATATGCATGGATACGGGGTCATCCATAAGCACATGGGTGGTTTACAGTGGCCACATCTCAGAAGAAAACTAACTCCTTTTGCCTCCAGCAGAATCCACCAATTAGCACTATCTCTTCAGCGAGGAGTGGGGCCTCATGAGCCCCTCCTGCACCCATGCTGGAAGACTGACTATTCCTGTGCAGGCAACTATACTGCTGTGTTCATGAGGGCAGTGGTCATGCCATATCTAGAAGAAAGCATGTCACAACACTCCTTTCCATCCTCAGGCTCTTACATTATCCCTGTTCTCCCAGGATGTTCCCTGAACTGGGATGGGTGAGGGGTTTGATACAGGTGACTCGTTTAAGGCCGACAGCTGAGCAGTCTCTTGTCTCTGCATCTTGGCCGAGTACAAGCCTCAGCATGGATGACTACCCACTGCCAAAGGAGACTTCTCTCACCAAGGCTGAGAGCAGTACTGATCTGTGGGTATAAACAAATACTTAGAAGGCAAATATTTCCGATTTCACACACAAGTCCATTTAAAGCAGCGGCATTATTCCCTTCCTGAAGCTATTGATTTAAAAGCACTAATTATTTTTTTCTTGCCCTCATACACTGTCATTGGTCATCCCAATGTCCAGATTTTGAAATAGTCACAATGGGTTTCAAATCCTGGCTCAAAGAAGCCTTAGTTATCTCTGGGTAGGGGATGATAATGGCTCCTTGATAAGAATGTTTTGACAATTAAGTGAGATTGTTTTCTGAGAGCACTCAGTGCTTCTGTGGGTATCACTGAACAGACTATTTTATTAAAATGGTGAGGACACTGGGAAACAGAAGGAGGCAGACACGTGTTGACACCCAAGTTCCACAGCCAAGATGAACATTTAATGGGCTGAGTGGGAATAGCTAAGGTCTTAGTAATTTGTCGATGACTGTTATCAGTTACCGCAAGATTCCTACAGTAGACTTTCCATGCCAAGTGCAAACAAGCAAGCTCATTCCTGTGTCACAGGAATAATTTTTAAAATGATCAGAAATGTGAAACTTGTATGACTTCTTAAAAAAATAAGTTTGCTGTGTTTAGATTTCAAATTTGGAGTGCTGATATGGGATGCTTGCAACTTCTGTTTCATTCACGGGTAAATATATACAAGGTCTTTCCTCAGTAACACTCACCCAGAGAGGAAGGTGTTAATCTGTAAAGGGTATACTAAGTGCAGTGACGTCACAGACAGAGTATTGCATTCTTATGGTCAGGGGTTATCTCCTTTCCTCCTCTGGAGTTCGTCACGGGACTCCAACATTTGTAAACTAAGCCAATACAATTTTTCTCAAATATGTGCAATATTTGCTCATTTGGAGATGTGCAGTTTCCTGGCTCTTGTCTTTGTTTTTTCCATTCTCTTGCCTTTTGGAGCATTTTAGGAGTCATCAGTGTGACAGTGGCAGGGTGGGAAAGAAGCATGGGGTCACAATTAAAATCTCTCTGACAGTCTCATTTATCAAACTTAGGCTCTGAGTCACCAAAGGGCTTTGCAAGACAGTGTAAAAGCCCCAAAGCTTTTGTGGTACAGGCTGCCACTGGCTTGTTCCAGAAACGGGGCAGTTTGCCGGGAATAAAAAGGGTGAGAGAGCATCCCCTGTCCTGGGGAGAGGGTCTGTTTGCAGACATCTCATAGAAGGAGTTGGTCTTTTCCAGAGTGAACCACCGCACAGCCCAAAGGAGAGGAGCCCAGAAGAGAGCCCAGAGGCTTTGGGAAGAGTAGTGATGTTAATGCTCTGGGGGACAGATGATAGGAAGACAGGCCAAGGAGTCAGGGGAGGGGAAGGAGAGGAGAGCAGAGGGGAGGGGAGGAGGGGAGAGCAGAGAGAGAAGGGGAGGAGGGGAGAGCAGAGAGGGGAGGAAAGGAGAGCAGAGAGAGGAGGGGAGGAGGGGAGAGCAGAGAGGGGAGGGGGAGGAAAGGAGAGCAGAGAGAGGAGGGGAGAAGAGGAGAGCAGAGGGGAGGAGGGGAGAGCAGAGAAAGGAGGGGAGGAGGGGAGAGCAGAGAGAGGAGGGGGAGGAGAGGAGAGCAGAGAGAGGAGGGGGAGGAGGGGAGAGCAGAGAGAGGAGGGGAGGAGGGGAGAACAGAGAGAGGAGGGGAGGAGGAGAGAGCAGAGGGGAGGGGAGGAGGGGAGAGCAGAGAGAGGAGGGGGGAGGAGGGAAGAGCAGAGAGGAGGGAGAGGAGGTGAGAGCAAAGAGAGAAGGGGAGGAGGGGAGAGCAGAGAGGGGAGGGGGAGGAGAGGAGAGCAGAGAGAGGAGGGGGAGGAGGGGAGAGCAGAGAGAGAAGGGGGAGGAGGGGAGAGCAGAGAGAGAAGGGGGAGGAGGGGAGAGCAGGAGCAGGAAGGTGAAGTAAAGAAGAGAGGAGGAAGAGTGAGGGAGGGTAGAGGGGAGGGGAGTGGAGAGAAGAAAGTAGAGGAGAAGGGGGAGGAGGAAGAGATGGGCAGAAAAAGGACATGGACGAGGGAGAGAGGAGAAACAGAAGGAAGAAAAGAGCAGAGAGGGACAGAGAGGAAGAAGGAGCAGAGGCAGAAGGAGGAGGGGAGAGGAAGCAGAGATGCCATAGAAAAGGGACCAATCAGCTCAGGAGAGCAATGGAGATCAGGAGATAGGCAGCCCCACCCCCGCCCCTGGTTTGAGACAGTGTCTCACTTAACAAGGGTCAGGTTTGAACTCAGTTAGCAACTGGAGATGACCTTGGAATCCCAGTTTTTCTGCCTCCACCACTCAAGTGCTGTAATTTCAGGTGTGGGACACAGCACTCTGTTGACAATGTAATTTAAAAAGTACAGAATGTTACAGCACAGTAGCAGAATCAGTAAATCAAGGAGTCCCTAAAACACACACACAACAGGGAGGAGAAAGTAAGGGAAACTGAGGAAAGTGGACAGCGCCATTCAGATCAGCCGCTCTAGGCTATTGAGTAATCATTGTGGGCAGGGCAGTGGCATCACCGAGCAGGTGCCTGTGGGTATACCTTAGGTCACAATGGCTGCAAGGCACTTGGCAATAGTTCCAATTCAGACTGTAAACATTTAGTAAACTTAGATATTACTGAGGGAATCATAATAAACGAGTCTTTTTTTCTTCAAATTCTAATCTAGGAGAAGTTATATGTTATACATGAAAAGAGGAAGGCAGTAGATTCACCATTTTTATTGTTCATGCTGTCTATTTTCTGCTGCTCTGCTTATTATTTTTAAGTGTAGGGTATCCATTTAATCTTGACGTCAGTGAACTAAGTGAGGCAAAGTCTTCCAAACTTGCTCTTTGACATTTGCTATCTGTGAAGCCATTGTTCATGGACTGACTTGGTATATATGTCATCAGAGTTGGATCTCGAATGTGGGAAACTATGCAGCTTGGATCCCTGGAATGCATTATTTACACAGGATAGCTCTCAGTTATCTTCATGCAGCTATCAGTTAGCACTGTCTC